CAAAATAGGCAGTTATTGTGGGTAAAATATTCATTAAAATCTGACCCCTAAGAACACACACATTTTAGGCTACGAATCATTCTCTCATTGCCCTAATGACCATCTCTGCAGCTGTTTTCGGTACCACTGCCAACGGAAATTTGGCATTCCTTGGAAAAATACAAGTTTTCCTAGCACCTAAACGTATTTTAGGCTCAAAAAGTGTGATGACCATTATCTATAAAGAATTTCTGTAAGACACTATAAATAGTGTTTCATGAGGAAGATTAAAAACATTACACATCTTTGTCCCTAGCAATTTTATTGGCAAAAAAATGAAAAAATAGATTATAAGAATATTCATATGAAATTATGAAAATGAATATCCCTTGAGGAGTAGTAACGGGACTTAATGAAAATGTTAACTCAAAATTTGAAAGTTTCTCTCTAACTGCCTGGAAAGAAAAAAAGATATTGTGAGAATAGAATTGAACTCAGAAAATAAAACCTGGAATCGATTGCCCTGACCAAACCATGCTATTAAAGTTAAGCGTGCAAAGTTACTCGTAATTTACAACTTCCTTGAATACAATTTTTCTTTCAATTGTTATGAAATTTTAAAAGAATGTCTATAAAGCTTTTTTGAAAAATCTTTGAAAGTTACTTTCCCTTAAACATTAAGGAATTTTACCAAGCAATTCCCTCCCACCCCCACCCTAAACTAATAGCTGGTCAGGCCATTCCACTGTCATGTTTGAAAAATGGCAAACCAACAACACACAGTAATACAAATTATTTAAACTAAGAGAGACACCAAATGTAAAGCATCATGGGAACTGCAGAATGTGATGGTTAGGGTATGAACCACGCTGGAAAGAACTAGAGGCAGGCTCCACTGGAAGGGCTTAAGAGTCGTCAGATGTAGTAGGTGATGTCAGTTAGAAAATGAAAAATAAAAATCTGTTTTCATAATTTTTCCTTTGCTGGAACCCAGATGTAAGGACCAGACTGTTCCTCTATGATCTGTTTCACTTGGTTGTAGATTTCTTCCAGTGTGTCTCCTTGGACAATAGCTGCAAAACATAATGTGGCAATCAGCAATCATCCTTCCCTGCTCCATACAGGAACCAAGCTGCTCCACACCAAGCTGTTCTTTTCCCTCAGAGTGGCAAAAGGGCTTAGACTGCTGAAGATTTCTGGTGTCTGTGCTGGAGTGAAGTACAGAATGGTACTGCAGGATGCACAAACCACTTCCCTGGAGACAGGAAGGACTTTTCACAGTACTACCAAATATATACGCACAACTGAGGAGGTGTTTGTTTTTTTTAGCTTTTCCTAACCACATGTTCCAATTTGCCTGAGCTGATTCACATCCTCCAGTATTCTTTTTTTGGCTCAACTTTCATTTTTCTCCAACACAAAGCAAGAACCTGCAGGGCTGTGTCCTCACCCAGTCAGTCTCTGTCAGGCTCGGTGTAATTCAGC